TAACATTTATTTCCCTTGAGGTTTTTTTTTTTCTCCTTCACTCTCAAACCATGATACTATGTCAACCTAAACAGGATTTACCTCACTCTGAAAACTGCAATGACATTTAAACATAGAAATAAATGTGAATAATTGAGGAGGCAGAAGGAGTACTCTCTGAGGAGGCAATATTTGAAGTGAAATCTGAATTATAAGACTCCCAGTGGTTAGCTCTGGGAGCGTAGTACCTAAGGCATTTGAGTGCTGACCAGAAGGCTGGCGGTTCAAACCCACCAGCCACTCCTCGGAAGACTGGGCAATCTGCTTCCATAGAGATACCACCACAGAAACCCAAGGAGGGATCACTATGAGTCGGATTTGACTCAACGATAGTGAGTTTTGTTTTTGTTTTCTGATGGCTAACACATTTTCTTCTAATGTGAGAAAATTCTTGGCACAAAAGTAGAAAGGGAGGAAAAATCTTGACATCTTTGAAAAAGTTTTTAAAATGTGTCAAGAGCTTATCTAACATGAGGATGAGTGTCATAAATTTATGTCAGAGAGGTATACAAAACCATGACCATGGAGGATCTTGTTGGCTGATGTAAAGCAGATGGATTTTATTCTATGTGTGATTGACAGTTTACTTGGTTTACATTTTTTAAATATGCCTCTTGCTGCTGGACAGAGATTATACATTCTTGTGGCAAGAGAAAAACTAGAAGAAAGTTCAGAGTCTGTTTTCATAAGATCTCACAGGGTAGCTTGGACTATTTCCCCTAATCTAGTGAATGGAAGCTGGTGCCATTTACTGGTATGAGAAAGCCAAGTGAGAAGTAGATCTGTTCAAGTCAGATTTTAAAGCTCGACTTAGACATGTTAGATTTCAAAGCCACACAGTCCTTAGTGCCTCAGGTGGACATAGGGAAGGGTATGGTTTCTGAGTCCAGTGGTACTATATCTCAATCTGTAAGTTGTCTCCTCCTGGCCATAAAGAATTAAACTGTGACCTCTAAAACAGGCTTCATTCCCACTTCTGAAACTTTCAGCTAAAAGAAAAGAAGAGGACAGTTCTGACATCCGTTAGGTCTTTAGAAAACATAAGTTGATATTATGGCATTATCTGAGGGACAACTTTTAAGATTCTGAACTAGGAAAATATGAATGAAGGTTTGAATTTTACATGAAGTGACCATACTACCGTTTCTCTTGGAGACGAACTGGTATGTCATGTCTCCAAGAGAAACTCCAGTTCTAAAAGAGAGTGTGGTAGAGTTAAGGTTATGTGTCAACTTCCCTGGGCCATGGTTTTTGAGTGGTTTGGCAGCTGGATATAGTTATTCCCCATGATGATACTGTAATCACTGCCACGGTAGAATCTGCTGTGAACAGCTAAGTAACTGAAGGGGAATTACCTTATGGGTCTGCCCTGCTTCCAGCATATATGGAGAAGCTTTGGGCAAGGTCTCTAGTTTTTTGGATCCTGCATTTGGCCGAGTCTTCATCTCCACTTCCTGAACTAGAGCCAGTGGCCTGGTATGTTGCCCGCTGCTCTTGGGATTGTGCCATTTTACCTGCCAATCCTGGGTCTGTCAGCGTCAGCAGCCAGCATCTATGTGAGTTCAAAGAAGCATCCAGCTGTAGTGGGTCTGGAACAAGAGGCAGAGCTAAAGCCCAAGGGTGAGGGGCCTTCACCCAGCCCCTATAGCCAACCCTATGAATTTGGACTTTGAGCCTCCTAAACTGTAAAAGAATAAATTCCTATTTGTTAAAGCATCCACTTGTGGTATTTCTGTTAAAGCAGCATTACAGAATCAAGACAGAGAGACTTCTAAAATATCTATTTTTAAAGAAGGAAAGGGAAAAATAAAAGGCACATTTCTCTATTGATGTTGAGATTACAAGTGGCGTTTAATGATCCCTCTATGCATTTCTGAACTTTTTGAAACATGCAAATACTTTTTATAATTTTTTTAAAAAAGAACATTTTTTTTTTCCACATACTTTTCAACAATGGATTCTTAGATATGATACCAAAAGCATGAGCAAGAAAAGACAAAACAGATAAATTAAAAATCTTGTATTTACTTTATCAACAAAGTAAAGATATAACCTACAGAATGGAAGAAAACATTTAGGAATCATATACCTGATAAAGGGAGCTTCCAGAAATTCAAGCTGGATTCAGAAGAGGACATGGAATGAGGGTTATCATTGCTGACATCAGATGGCTCTTGGATGAAAACAAAGAATACCAGAAAGATGTTTGCCAGTGTATTATTGACTATACAAAGGCATTCAACTGTATGGATCATAATGAAATATCGATAACATTGTGAGGAACGGGAATTTCAGAACGCTTGATTGTGCTCATGAGGAACCTATACATAGACCAAGAGGCTGTTGTTTAAGCAAAACTACTGAATAGTTTAAAATCATAAAGAGTGTGTGCCAGGGTTGTATCCTTTCAGTATACTTATTCATTCTGTTACTGCCCAAATAACCCAAGAAGCTGGAATATATGAAGAAGTCAGGACTGGAGGAAGACTAATTAATTACCTGCAATATGCAGATAACACAGCCCTGCTTGTTGAAAGTGAAGAGGAGTTGAAGCACTTACTCATGAAGATCAAAGACTACAGTCTTCAGTATGGATTACACCTCAACATAAAGAAAATAAAAATCCTCACAAGTGGACAAATAAGCAACATCACAATAAATGGAGAAAAGATTGAAGTTGTCAGGGATTTCATTTTACTTGCATCCATAATCAACAACCATAAAAGCAGCAGTCAAGAAATTAAACATTGTATTGCACTCAGCAAATGTGCTGCAAAAGACATCTTTAAAGTGTTAAGGTGCAAAGATGTGACTTTGAAGATTAAGGTGCACCTAACTCAACTATTAGGCAGTTCTACACGTGCTGAGTCGAAAATTGACATGCCTGCACCTAACAACAACAAATATATACCCAAAAGGTCAACAGGAGGGATGTAAACCAGTACTTTCACACCAAAGTTCACTGCACCACTATTCATAGTAGCCAAAAAGTGGAAACACTCTGTGGTAGTTTGGTTTGTGTGTCAACTTGGCTGGGCCTGGTTGAGTGGCTGGGCAGCTGGTGGTAGTTAATCCCCATCAGGAGACTGGCAATCACCTCCATGGTGGGATCTACCACAAGCAGCTGGGTAGCTGCCTTTGGGTATATGGTCTGCTTCCTGTACATAAGGAGAAGTCTTTGGGAACAGTCTCTAGCCTATGGCACACTTGGATCCTGCAGGTAGCTGTGTCGTTGCTCAGCCTGCTATGCTCTGCCGACCTTGGGACTTACAATGGACTTAAATTAATGGCCTGCCGTGTGGTTTGGTAACATTGGAACTGTGCCTACTGACTTGTCAACCTTGGAGCTTCTCAGCCTCTGCAGCCAGCAGCTGTCTGAGTGAAGAAACGCCTCTAGCTCCAGTGGGCCAGGAGCAGGAGGCAGAGCTGGACCCCAAGGTTGAGGGGTTTTCACCCAGCCCCTAGAGCTCGGCACTTTGAACTTGGACTTAAATTAAGCCTCCAAATTGTAAGAATAAATTCCTGTTTGTTAAGGACATCCCATTTATGGTATATTTCTTGTCAGAGCAGCACTAGGTAACCAGAACACACTCAAATGTCCATCAACAGATATATGGATAAACACAATGTAGTGTATCCATAAAATTGGAGATTATTGAGTCTTAAAAAAAAATGAAGTTCTCATAAATGCTGTGACATAGATTGAAAACATTGTGCTAAGAGAAATAAGTTAGACACAAAAGAACAAACACTATACAATCCCATTTATATGAAATATCCATTGCTGTTGTGTTGTTACGTGCCGTCAAGTCGGACTGGACTCATAGTGACCCCTCCTTGGGTTTCCAAGGTAATATCACTATGGAAGTAGATTTCCCAACCTTCCTTCCAAGGAGTGGCTGGGGGTTTGAACCGCCAGCCTTCTGGTTAGCAGTCAAGCACCTTAGGCACTATGTTACCAGAGCTTCTATGAAATATCTAGAATAGGCAAATGTATAGAGGCCAAAGCTGATTAGTGGTTACCAGGAGCTGAAGGGAGGGAGGAAGGAAGGAAGGGAGAGTTAATGCTAAAGAGGCCCTGAATTTCTGCTAAAGGTGATGGGAAAACTTGGAAACCGCCAGAGGTGATAGCTGCACAATATGGTGAAAGTACTTAAGGTTACTGAATTGTATATGTAAAAATGTTTGAAACAGGGAACGGTTTTGTTATATATATTTTGCCACATATACAGGAACACAGTGTGAATTATACCATTGAAAAAAGAAAGAATTTTAGTTTCTCGCTGTGTGTGAGTGAAAGGAGGGAAACAGAAATACTAGGGAGATATAGGGAGGTTAGCAGGTAAGCCCTGGTGGTGTAGTGCCTAAGGCATTTGACTGCTAACCAGAAGGCTGGTGGTTCAAACCCATCAGCCACTCATTGGAAGGAAGGTTGGGCAATCTACTTCCATGTAGAGATACCACCTTGGAAACCCATGGAGGGGTCACTATGAGTCTGATCTGACTCAGCGGCAGTGAGTATATTTTGATTAGTGTCATTACAACTAAAGAAATTTCTCAAAATGTGCCTCTACAAATATTTTCCTCCTGAATTTGTTATAAATATAATCCCAAATGCACCTACTAGTTCCAACTCATGTTTCTAAATTCTTCATCTATCTTAAATACATGCAATCATTAAAGGATGGTGGTGGTGATGGTGGTTATATTCCTAACCATAATCTTACCTTCCTACGACCAGAAGCACAGAAAACAAAGGGGAGCATGTGAGCTGCAGACTGGATGGGATGTGTGCAGATAAGTTCAGGCCAAGAAGCCGGGAGCTTCGATGAGGCCCATGACTGCATTCCTGACAAACTCCCAGGAGAAGCTGACACTGATCATCTGAGAACCCACTTGTTAGCGAGGATTTACACGATTTTACCTGTTAGTGCACTGAAAGAATGATCCAGCCCACCTACTCGGCCATCCAGAACCTGGCCGTGCAGAAAGAAACCGCAGCCTAGGCGGGCACTGGCGGTGTGGAGCGGGCTCTCGGAGGAGGCGGTGGCGCCCAGGAAAGCGGAAGCGGCAGGAGGCCCCGGGCACAGCCAGGCTACAGGAAATCCTGCGGCGCTGGGTAGGACAAGAGGACAGAAAAGCAGGAGCAAGAACTCAGCCCCGTAGGCTGCACCTGGTACTGCACCAGACCTACCTCTACAAAGCCAAAACCTACCTCACACTGGAGGAGGAGGGCAACAGACACATGACAGCCAACCATTGGCCGCACACTTTCGCTTCCGGTTTTTGGGACTCTCGCGGCCGAAGGGGAGGGGTTCCGTTGCAGGTATCCAAGGGCTGCACGGCACTGACTGTGAGGTTCAGTGATTTCCCCTTGGATTTTGGATCTGGCCACTGCTACCTTTATTTCCTCTATAGAAAATAACCTAGGTTTTCTTAAGTGCATATATCAACTTAAACGCGTATTTTAATAGTCAAAGATCTCTTATACCCATTGGGAACAAAGAAAATTGGTATTTATTTGCATATTTGGCCACTTGAAAAAAATTTACCAAGTTGTTTAGAGAAATAATTTGATTACCCCTCATAAATATTTGCCTGTCTTTAGAAATTGTTGAAGTATCTAGTTTGGCTTCTGTTTCATGGTTTGTTGTTGTTGCTATGTGCCTTAGATCACTACAGAAGTAGATTGTCATCGTCCTTCCAAGGAGTGGCTGGTGGGTTTGAACTGGCAGCCTTCTGGTTAGCACTCAAGTGCCTTAGGCACTACGCTACCAGGTTTGTAGTCTCCTGTATATCAAGTATCTTACCCTAGGAGCAGGGTAGAGACTGTGCAAACCCAATCTGATCTCTCCAAGAGCTCAGGATCTTGGAGGGAGATGTTTTCCAGGATGAGAGGCAGGAAGAAACCAGTTCTTCTGAAGGACAGTAGGCAAAAGATGAAGTACCTTTGAAAATGAAAATTATAAACAGTTTTTGCCTTTTTTTTTTTTTTTTTTTTTTTTGCAGGTATACACATATAATAAAGTACATGTTGTTGCTGTTAGGTGCTGTTGAGTCGGCTCCAACTCATAACGACCATATCTATGAATAACGGAACAAACACTGTCCAGTCTGGGCCACATCAGACAGTGTTTCAATGCTATTTGTAAGGTTTTCACTGGCCAATTCTTTGAGAATGGATGGCCCCTTCCTTCTTCCAAGTCTGTCTTAGTCTGGAAGCTCTCCTGAAACCTCTCCACCACGGGTCACCCTGCTGTATTTGAAATACCAGTGGCATAGCTTCCAGTGTCACAATAGCACACAAGCCAGCCCAGGATGACAAACTGACAGACAAGTGGTAGAATCAAGTGCATAATGTGTACTACTCTTAAGTGTGCAACGTGATTAATTTTTACATCTTGTTATATGCTCTGGTTATACCTCAGTGTAAAGAAAACAAAAATCTTCACAAATGGGCCAATAAGCAACATCATGATAAATGGAGAAAATTTTGAAATTGTCAAGGATTTCATTTTCCTTGGATCCATAATCAATGCCCATGGCAGCAGCAGTCAAGAAATCAAATGATGTATTATTGCATTGGGCAAATCTGCTGCAAAAGGCCTATTTAAAGTGTTAAAAGGCAAAGAAGTCACTTTGAAGATTAAGGTGCACCTGACCCAAGCTATGGTATTTTAAATTGCCACATATGCATTTGAAAGCTAGGCAGTGAATAAGGAAGACTGAAGAAGACTTGGTGCCTTTCAATTATGGCATTGGTGAAGAATATTAAATATAACATGGGCTGCCAGAAAACAAACAGATCTGTCTGGGAAGAAGTATAGCCAGAATGCTCTTTACAAGCCAGGATGGTGAGGGTTTGTCTCATACATTGGACACGTTATCAGGAGGGACCAGTCCTTGGAGAAGGACATCAGCCTTGGTAGAGGGTCAGCAAAAAATAGGAAGACCCCTAACAAGATGAATTTATATAGTGGCTGCAACAATAGGCTCAAATATAGCAGATTGTAAAGGTTGACTCAGGGCTGGGCACTGTTTCCTTATGTTATACATAGGGTCTCTATGAGTCATAAGATATTTGACAGCACCTAACAACAATAACATACACTAATATAACCTCCTCTGAGATCAAGTTAGGGAAATTTTCCAGCACACAAGATTTCCTCATTCCCTTTCCCCAGTTGATAACAGAACACCCCAGAAATAACTGGTGTTCTGACTGCTATTGCCAGAGATAAGATTTACCCATTCTTGGGCTTCGTATAATTGGAATAATATTGTCTGAAGTGTACTGTGTCTGATTTCATCTACTCAACATAACTCCTGTCGTATTTTATCTAGATTGTTGAACATAGCAGTAATTTATTATTTTATTTGTCACTATGTTTTATCCCAATGGATGAATATACAATTTTTCTTATTTATTTATTCACTCATTTGATTCTATTGTTTTGTATTTTAACATAGCATAGGTCTATCTTTTTTAATATTTACTGAACACTTAGATATGTATTTCCTGCTGTTGTTGAGTGGAGTGTTTAATAAATCTCTATTAGGTCAAGATGACTGATGATGTTGTTCAAGTCTTCTATATGCTTGCTGACTTCTATATCATTGCAAGTTTTTTTCATGCTTCATTTTTCTTCACATATATTAGAGCTTTGTTGTTAGGTGCCGTTTAATCAGCTCTGACTCATAGAGACCCTGTGTACAACATAATGAAACACTGCCCGGTTCTGAACCATCCTCACAGTACTTGCTATGCTTGAGCTCATCATTGCAACCATTGTGTCAATCATCTCACTGAGGTGCTTCCCCTTTTTCGCTGATTCTTTACTTTGTGTTGTTGTTGTTACGTGCCGTCAAGTCAGACCCGACTCATAGTGACCCCTCCTTGGGTTTCCGAGGCAGTATCACTACGGAAGTAGATTGCCCCATCTTCCTTCCAAGGAGTGGCTGGTGGGTTTGAACCGCCAGCCTACTGGTTAACAGTCAAGTGCCTTAGGCACAATACTTTACCCAGCATAATATCCTACTCCAGGGACTGATCCCTTCTGACAACATGATCAAAGTGCATAAGACTATGTCTGACCATTCTCTCTTCTAAGGAGCATTCTAGCTGCAATTCTTCCAGGACAGATATGTTTGTTCTTCTGGCAGTTCATGGTATTTTCAGTATTCTTCACCAACACCACAATTCAAATGCATCAACTCTTCTTCGGTTTTCCTTATCCATTGTCCAGCTTTCACATACGTATGAGGCTATTTAAAATACCATGACTTGGGTTAGGTGCACCTTAGTCTTCAAAGAGACACCTTTGCTCTTAAACACTTTAATGAGATCTTTTGCAGCAGATTTCCTCAGTGAAGTACAATGGCTGATTTCTTGACTGTTGATACCATGGGTGATGAATGTAGATCCAAGTAAAATCAAATCCCTGACAACTTCACTATTTTCTCCATTTATTGTAATGTTGCTTACTGGTCCATTTGTGAGGATTTTTGTTTTCTTATGTTGAGGTGTTATCAACTCTGAAGGCTCTTGTCTTTGATCTTCATCAGTAAGTGCTTCATGTCGTCTTTACTTTCAGCAAGCAAGGTTGTGTTGTCTGCATATCGCAGGTCATTAATAAGTCTTCCTCCAATCCTGATGCTGTGTTCCTCTTCATATAGTCCAGTTTTTTAGATTATTTGCTTAGTATACAGATTGAATAAGGATGGTGAAAGGATACAACCCTGATGTACATCCTTCCTGATGTTAAACCATTCAGTATCCTCTTATTCTGTTTGAACAACAGCCTTTTGGTCTATGCACAGGTTCCCTATGAGCATAATTAGGTGTTCTGGGATTTCCATTTCATTTCCGTTCCTTGCAATGTTATTTATAATTTGTTATGATCCACACAGTTGAATGACTTTGCACAGTCAATAAAACACAGGTAAACATCTTTCTGATATGCTTTCAACCAAGATCCATCCCATATCAGCAATGATACCCCTCCTTCATTCCATGCCCTTTTCTGAATCCAGCCTATATTTCTGGAAGTTCCCTGTTAATATATTGCTGCAACCATTTTTGAATTATCTGCAGCAAACTTTTACTTGTGTGTGATATTAATGATACCATTCGATAATTTCCACATTCTTTCTTTGGAATAGGCACAAATATGGATCTCTTCCAGTCAGTTGGCCAGGTAGCTGTCTTCCAAATTTCTCGTCATATGTGAGTGTGTGTCTCTGCCACTGTTTGAAACATCTCAGTTGGTATTTATCAGTTCCTGTAGCCCTTTTTTCACCAATTCCTTCAGCACAGCTTGGACTTCTTCCTTCACTACCATTGGTTTTTGACTCTATGTTACCTCCTGAAATAATTGAACATCCTTCCATCTTCTTTTGATGCTTCCTGTGCCATTCAATATTTTGCCCATAGAATCCTTCAATATTGCAACTAGAGGCTTGAATTTTTTACTCAGTTCTTTCAGCTTGAGAAAGGCTGAGTGTGTTCTTCCCATTTGGTTTTCTAACTCCAGGTCTTTGCACATTTCATTATAACACTTTGTTTTCTCAAGCCACTTTTTGAAATCTTTGGTTCAGCTCTTTTATTTCAACATTTCTTCTATTTACTCTAGCTACTCTCCATTTAAGAGCAATTTTAAGAGTCTCTTTTAACATCTATTTTGGTCTTTTCTTCCTTTCTTGTCTTTTCAATGACCTTTTGCTTTCTTCATGTGTGATGTTCTTGATGCCATCCCACAACTCATCTGATTTTCAGTCATTGGTGTTCAATACATCAAATCTAAACTTCAGGTGGTCTCTAAATTCAGGTGGGATATAATCAAGCTCATATATTGGCTCTTGTGGACTTGATTTAATTTTCTTCAGCTTCAACTTAAACTTGCATATGAGCAATTGATGTTCTGTTCAAAGTCAGCTCCTGGCTTTGTTTTGATTGGTGATACTGAATTTTCCTATCACTTCTTTCTACAGATATAGACCATCTGATTCCTGTGTATTCCATCTGGCAAGGTCCACTTGTGTAGTCACTTCTTTTGTTGTTGAAAAAAGGTATTTACAATGAATAAGTTGCTGATCTTGCAAAATTCTATCATGAAATCTCCAATGTCATTTTCATCCTCAATGCAATCTTTTCTAATTACCGAAGCTTCTTTTTTTTGTTTCCAACTTTTGTATTCCAATCACCAGTAATAATCAATAATCTTGATTGCATGTTTGATCAATTTCAA